GTAATTTTTGAAAGTTGGATGACCTGTTGACCGGGTCAAAGGGTAAAATTGAATACGATTACCGGTATTTGGGACTTAATTGAATAAAAAAATATATAGAGACTAAATCGATTATGAGGTCAATATGTAAAGACTTTATTGCAGTTTTCCCTAGTAATAAAAGTATGTTGGTATTCGAAATATGTAATAATTATATAATAAGTTATTTGAAATATTTTGAATGTTGTAACAAATTATGATTTGTTTAAAGCAATTCATAGACAAATCAAACAAAAATGTTATATTTGTGGAAAAAGGATGTTATCTTCTGATAATCCGTTTTGTTGCAAAGGATATCAAATTGATTGTTAAAATTTGATTATTGGTCATTAAATAATTAGAAAATCAGAAAAATAATATATTTATTGAAACGATATTTAATCGATCACTTATCATATCATTAACTGCCAATACTATTGGTGTGATTGTGGATAAATTTTTTTGAATTTTTTTACTCATCAGTTTATTTTTAAGTTTTATATCTAGTCATTCTCAATCTGCAATCATGTCGTGTTTTTTTTGTGTGATAGGACCCTGACACAACACAAGGTTTCAAGTAACACGAATCGTACCCAACATGATGTCGGATTATTTTTAAATAACACTGAAACGAACTAATTAAAAAATGACAAATACGACAAAAATAACAATTAGTTTATTTAATTAATAATTAATCATACATAACACGACATGCAAATGTTAAATTGTGTCAATTTTTTGTCGAATTTTGAACACAAACATGACACAACATCGTATTTGTTTACACTTGACATAAACACGAATTCAAATTTCAGTTTCGTCTCATTTTCGTTTCTGTCTTTGTATTTTTATCGTGTCGTGTCATCAATTACCACTTACATGCAATCATATGTCATTTACCCCTTTAATTATATTTAAATTTTAAATATTTTTATTTTTGTTAATTAATTCTAATAAATATTTAATGATAAGTTATTTATGAAATATAAAATTCATAATGTTTTTTTTGTGTTTGTGGCATTTGATATATTAAATATATGTAAAACTATGAGCGTGTGTTTAATAACAACATTAAATAAGGGGTTTTATAGAAGGGTAAATGTCATTGTAGCCTAACCAACTATCGAATTTTGTTTTAAATAGTCACTTATGTTTTCTTTTTGCATTCTAAGGGCATAAAGTCTATTTTAACATATTTATTAAGGACATATGACTTGTTTTAACCGGTTTCCATACCAAGTCAGATGCCACGTATATAGATTTTAGGACACTTTCCCCTTGACTGCCAAATCACCATTTGACCTTCTCTGGGAAACAATTTCTCCTTCATCGGTGACTTTTTTTTGCTGTGAATCATGATTTATCTATTCAATACATCAATTTCTCCATCTCATTGATTCAAGATTGTGATTAGAAATCTTCGCTATATCACCTGATCCCCTCGAATGGATTTGTTCGCTTGATTCTATATGTCTATCAATGGACTTGTTTTTTTGTCGGATTATGTTTTTGGGATTACGATGGGTTTGACAGTTAATGGTGTTTGTAAATGTGTTGATATCACTTGATTGTCACGTAGATTGATGTATGTGAGATTTGGGTGCACACGAAGTGCTTGTGAAAATGTCACCAGAGAAACGATTACCATCCAGCCTGATACGACGCAATCCAGTGCACTTCCTCAAGCAACCTAATAATAACCCCATGAAACTGTTGCCATCCACAATGAACTGGTCAAACAGAAAGCTACTGCACAATTCAACAACTAGTTCTCCGGTGAAACTATTGTTTGAAAAGCTCACATTTGTCAAAACAAGATTGTTCTTGCCTAAATGTGACATCCCCATTTTCACGGCCAGAAAAGACCGATTTGTTTATGCTTTGTTTTGAAAATCAGAGTAACATTTTAAAGAAAAGTATTGTGGAATTTGTTCCCAAAAGATAAATATAATAAAGATTTATCAAAGCATTTCCGAAGAAATGTATTTCATTATATTAAAACCTCGGGATGTCATGTTCGATACAGATCAAAAACATAAACAGAACAACATAGGCCTTACAACATTTATTTATATCTACTGGCCTATAATCTGTAATCCCTCATCAAGTTATCCAACTATGCTCTTGTGCCACTACATGTAATACAAGAAACTGAGTGGGTCAGGCTTGGGAACCAAGTGAGCACATAGGGTTTTCAACCCACAATAAATAGTTTATTAGCTTAATCACAACAATCAAGCCGATTACCCGTTCCCGTTATCCTCACTTTACGTCCCTAAAACACTTATCATAAGGGACCTATCCTAAGGATTTTCATCGGGATGGACACTACTGCTAAGGGGGTTCCTCAACAATAAACGTCCATAAGGCAACCATGAGGGGGGATGGAGTACACCGGTGAACACATCGTTCACAAACACCTACATGTTGCGAGCCTGCTAGCTTTCCACTTGACTGTCTAGAATAGTCTGTGGTCGTCATCTATACTCCGCTAGATGATTGGATCATCGTCAACATCGAGGCCTCTCATCATTTTATTTCATCGCACACAATCTATTACATTTACCCATGTTTTACCCAACATATTTGTAGATATAAAATACATATACAGTTTAAATCATTTAAAACATGTATAAAATCGTTCATCCAGCATAGATATCAGGTAAACAGATAATATGCACACATAACACGTAATTTATATAAAATATTTCATATCTATGTGTAAGATGAAAGTAACTATG